ATTATTATTATTATTATTATTTTTATTATTATTATTGTTATTATTATTTTTATTGTTATCATTTATGATTATCAGTTTGCATTATTACTTCATTTTCGATCTTTCTCATAGTATTTTTTATCGCTGTTATTATCATTATTCGTTTTACATTTTATCATTAAACTTTATCAAGATAAATGGTTTCGACATAGAGCATGGAATTTTGTTGAATCTAAAAAATTCAATTTGCGACCATGAGCACCGTATATAAACGAGCGCTTATATTGAAATATCAGTTTATCTTTCCAGTGCACATCCCGATAATCATGTTGGTGCATCAAATAAACATGGCCTTTTCCTCATCCCCTCAGTGAACTCACGCTTTAACAAATCACGAAATTAAGGTCACTGTAGTGATGAACGCCACCGAAGAAACTGGTGTGCATGATTACGAAACTATTCATGAATCGCGTTAGAATGCTTTCGTTGGAACTCGTATTTCCTTCTTATTGCTTACTTCCCATCCACATACTGAAGCCTTCAATACGCGACCGCAAAAGAATTTCAGATCCATTCCGAGTAAAGTCGAATGAGTTCCCATCCATACTTCGGCAATGATGCCAACCGTAAGACCAATTATAACACAGTTATCTAATCCATCGTATTTCGAGTCGCTGTTGCAACTGATAAACTCGCTTTCAATATGCTTATTTGTTGCAGATGAACGTCATACTGTACATTACAGTCGCAGCTTGCACGCTTGTTGCGTGCGGTTTCGCAGATGGAGGCGAGCTACAATTGGCTGGGAACAATACTGCAGTTTGCTCTCATGAAATCCAGCAACAGATTGCCAATATGGTAAGTTTGTTTATGCTTGAACGAAGCAAATGTTCGTTTTCAATGATGATAGTTCAAACATTATTCGACAGCAAAAAAACGACCGGAATGAAGTATAGCGATGAGTCATTCTGAATAACGAGCATTTGATATCTTCTCTGAAAATTTCTCCCATAAGAATCCATGGCTTTTAATGTAGCGATACGTCAATAAATACTTCCTGAAAGGTAAATCTAGGAACAGATTTTACGGATATTATCGCTTGAATCGTGCTCCCTTCCCATTACATGTCTTTTCCAATCAACCTCACATTGTCAGAAGAAAGGAAGTGAACGATTGAAAACATCATTGGTGACAAAGAAATTCTGAGATAAAGAACATTCAGTCTCTGAACGATCACATGATGCATTCTTAACAAACAACAGCAAATCGCCATCAAAAAGGATCTCTCATTTCGATTGTTTTCAGTCGATGGAAGAAAAAAGCCGCGAACTACAAAAGTTACAAGCACAGAACACATCGGCGCTGCAAATGATGAATACCTTGAGTGGATATGCGAGATGGGATGAATTTCTCTGCGACTTACCAATAATGGTCACTAATCTCAGCCAACTGATGTTGTTCTCGAACGAGCGTGACTTCACACTGTACAAAGATAATGTCACCTATCACTATATTCAAAGACCTGAATCGTTCAGAGCGTCACTTGTACAGGTTGGCATGAACGCGATGAATACAGGGGACTACTATGCTTCGGGATGTTCTCCGTCGGACAAGAAACAATAGAGGAGTTAACAAACATGCAAAATGTAGTTTAAAATTGTCTGAGAATAACTTATATGGGCGAGAATGATCAATTAAAAAAGTAGGAAATCAAGCGAACCGAATCAATCTGAGTTGCTTGTCACACTCAGAATTAACGCCTCGTTTCCAGTTGTTGGCAATGATACATTTGGATTTTTCAAACCATTTTTCAAAAAGAGAACTTAAAATGTTCTCACTTTTTGCACGAAATCACTTTTCGTCTTGCCTTCCTACATCGCTCATAGTTTTTGTTTTCGAAATTATTACAGCAAAGATTTATGATCGCATCCGTCAAGGGGATTTCTGAAACTTCTGAAGAAAATTTTAAAATACTTTTCACTCCTCACGTGATTGTCTGCTGACTGTTTCTTTGAATGCGAATCATTTGCACATATCGTTTGTCGGCGTCTCTTCATTCGTGGAGATCATTTCAGTTGGCCCACACTGAATGGAACGCACTAATTGCAGCTCACTTCAATATGGATACAATTCGTTTGAACACATTTTCTGTTCCGAGAATATTTCAGATTATCTTCCGAATCCTGCTGAGAGAGGTCAGAGTACATCCTCTTCAATGTCACATTCTCATTCGATTTTCCGCTTATTGTTGGATCAGTTCATGATGTGGTCCTCAGACAATTTGTATGACTTCCAACATTACAAATTTAAAACTCTCACGAGCCCTGAACAAGCAATAATACCATCTATCACGTATGCATAGATACTGTTTAGAAATTCCTGAACATCCAACGAGGGAAGGTCACGAATTCACCCCCACGTTGATAACGCAGGAACTCCAAGCAATTTTTTTACAGAAGAATGCAAGAAATCAACATCTGTTGAACTTACAACTGAATCGCATCAAGAAATTCGCTGTCCAAAATCGGCAAGTATGTGAAGACTCGATCTCCAAGATCAACGATACAATAAATCTCATCCACGAACTTCAGGTCATCGTTGCACTCTCTCAATTTGACGGTTTTAAAATCGTATTCAATTCCGACTTGACACTGCATCAAATTGGCTCAATTCTTATAAACTACAGCAATTCAGTTCAATACAACTGGTGATCAGCTTTTCTTTGAAAAGTTTAGATTGCCACTGTGTCAGCGCAGTCCGATCAGAAGGACCGACTGAAATTGCTGACATTAGAAAGAGAAGCATTCGAAAGGAAATTGAATGCATCGTCGAGGAAGCTCCAGCTCGTCAATGAAGAGCTAACAAGGCAACGTGATAATGTGAAGCAACGTCAAAAAGAATACGAAAAAGTAAGCCGTATCATACATTTTGACCGTTGCGAACTGATATATCAGATTAGAATTTCATCTGAATGCGCAAAAGATTATTCCAAAGTTCGAAGCCCTCTAAATATGAGTTTTAAGACATTCAAAAAAATGCAGTCGTGAAAGTTTGAAATTTTTAGATCCAATAATTGAACTGCACTTTTTGGCGTTTGTGATAGTGTTTGACGTGTTAAAAGACAGCTTGAAAACGACGCGTTGAGGCAAACTTTTTTTTACTTTTGATGATCACAATATTCTGCTGTATGATTTTAGGCACAGCGAAATGCGGAACCGAACGTGGGTTTGATATTACTTTCGGCAGTAGTCGACATCGTAGAATTTATACCTCGACTGATCTTAGGCACCATGGGACATGGTGGCTCGAGCGGTGGAGGACAACAAGGACAAATGCCACCAATAAATCAGCCAGCGCCACTAAATATGACTTTCTATAGGGAATTAGGTGATCTCCAAGTGAGTTTTTCGGCGATCCTAATGATTAAGAACCGAGCTACTAGTCACTTTACGAGCAGTTCGCATACAAACGTCATCCATCAGCATACATAAAGCGCTCCTAATGCCAGTCGATGAAATGCTTCATTAAAATATCGTTGCTGTCATCCACTTCAGTTCTAATAATCCAGAAATATGAATCCCTTTGAAATAACCCCCTGAGGTTTTCAGCGAGTTGCAATTCTTTTTGTCGATTTCGAATGAAATCCTCCACTCACGTCCATTTTTCCGAACGAATATTCATGGAATCCAAGCTGAATTCTGAGAGCAAATCTGAAATGGTTTGATGTTACCAGTTTCTAATGGTGATATTAAAGGAGGCAAAGAACATCACAAAGGAGCTTGGTGAGATACTGAATCAAACAATGATAAATAAGCAAACACAAGATACTATCGAATTGTTCATCGCTGACGTGATGACCTTCCAAAACTGTTCCCTCAAAAATTCTCTACTTTCGTTCCTCGAAAAAGTCAGGATGGCTTACAAGGCTGTCGGCGGAGTGAGTGAAGAGGACAGATTCAAAATGTTACAGAAGTAAGTTTCCATTTGGAAAAGCCCTCGAACATCGCATCATTAACTAACATACGTGTAACTTTAAAAATTTCAATTCCCTTCATTTTTTTTTCGCTATCATTCTACCCCTAAGAAATCAAAATCGCTTTCCTCTTCTCGTCAACAGAATTCCTTGTTCAGGTTGTTTGAAATATCAAATGAAGTGACCAGTAAGCTGAGCAAATTCCTTTCTGGGATGAGTAACGGTCAAACAATAGTGCTGAATCATCGATTGGAAACGATGTTCGAGAACTCGGATGATACCTACGGACAAATTATGGGTCCAAGACTTGAGCAAGTCAGTTTTTTTAAATTCATTGCTGCACAGTTAGCTGAATCGCTCCTATAAAAACGTCTTGTTGATTTTAAAATGGAAAAAAAAAGTTAAACTTTGGTAATTCCAGGCGCCGTTTCAATGATGCGATTTATTCCGTTGTCAGTGCATCTGCATCACACTTTTGACAGTGTAAATAAACCGCTTTCTTGCACTACAGATGAAGTGCAAATGAGTCCTGTATCCACTCAATTCAGAGTTTGACTGAGGGTTCAAATTTTGACCTATTTAGGAAATTGAATGAATATGTTGAAGGCGGATCATTCCGGATAAATTGAAGCACAGCTACAGTTTTTAGGTTTTTAATGAATGAGATGTTTTGAAGTGACAAGGATGAGATATCAGCTATTCGTCAAAACCGATCAGTGCTACCTCATGCCAATCGCAAATATCATGTTCTGATGGTTGTATATATACACAACTTTCCAGTAATTCCGCTTGCCATCTCATCATTGGAGTGATTCAAATAAATTGACCAATGCAAGTCATTTTTCAGCTCGCAGGTTCAACCAGAATATTAATCATCGCGCAAGAACAATATGAACGGTCGTATGAGAGGATGTTACAGGTGATGGATGAGAAAAATAAATATTTCGGAGAAGTTCAAACTATTAACATTGAGGCAATCGACTTCAAATCGATATTGAAGGTTATGAAGCACGGTAAAAGTAGCGATCAGTTTTCATATACAGTCATCACTTGATTTCACAATTTTAGAGCACTCCCCAACTAAACAGCTGATTCGTTTCATCTTATTAACGCATTTGTAATCCAAAGACGACACATGCCTACGATAATTTCGTCTGTTCGCACGCTGAAAGCTGAAAACGGAATTTAAATGAAATGGAGGATTTTCCAAAGAAACTTTTCAAGCAAACAAAACCTAGCAACTCAGGTTCCTTCTGTTACCTATTCATTCAGGTATCGAGGTGCTCGGACATCATATTGAGCAATGGAAAAATCTTCTGGAGTTCTTCAAAGTAATCGAGAATCTAACAAAGTTGGCCAGCGAAGAAACTAGATTGTTTATAGAAGGAACATATCAAGGCATCGAGGATGGTGCATTGATGAGCGTTTATGGAAATGATGATATCTACATGGATATTCTATACCAGCACAGTTATACTACGATCGACATTGCCAGGGTAATCGTTTATTTGCCTTTGTTGAATCTTTTCCGTGGGTGTTGCAGAAGAGGAGGTCCCTTCTGTCACCTACCTCTTTTCTATTCTTCTAGGATCGTTCAGTCTGATCTAACAACATCAATCGATGGTTAGTTATAGGTGTTTTCCATAAAACACCCTGCTCCATTTCTTCAGTTGTCCACGAAACGAGATTTTCCATCAACAAACTGATTCCTCCGCATGCGAATATCTCAAAACCAAACATTTCAGTCACACGTCAAACACCGTAAGGTATATTTTCATGTGAATGAAAATACGTTTTGTAAATTTAACATGACACCATTTCAGGCACTCAACGAGATGACTACGACCTACGTGCACGTGTCGAGAAAATACGTTTTCCCGCATTTGAACGGCGTCACAGAACTTCTCGCACTTGAAGATCCCAAAGAGATTAACGCAGCCTTCAAGAAAGTAGCGGTGGACGCTCAACTGGCAATGGCTGAGATTAGAAAGGAACTGAAGGAAGACTATATCAAACAACAACAACGAATGAAGGTTCAGATTGATCGAATTTCGTGCTTTATGAATGTACTCAAAGATGACCCTTCCATTGAGAAGGCAGTCAAAGAAAACGGCTACGATGTCGGTATTAATGGCTTTTGATTGACTTATTTCTTCCTGCATCCACTTACAATGTTAGCGTTTCTCTGCTCTCAAACCGACACGGGGTTCAATGAATAACAATAAGAAGTTTGAAACAAAACATTGGGACACTTCATTAATCGTTACTGTTGGTACCAAATGTAATTCTGCATTCAAAAATAAATAAATTTCACATATCGACACATTGCACCCCGGCCGACATAAGTGAGAGCCTCATCAATAAATTCATATCGCCCTATCATATCTATCGTATTCTGATAAAATGGTCGTCTTTTTAATGAATAAATACATAAATATCCGCTGTCGTGATCGAATGAGTTTTTATTTTTCATGAACGAACACTTTTTACACATATTGCAG